TTTTGCTATAAACTTCCTCATTCCCAACACAATCCCGCTGTAGCTGCTGTATGGCCTGTACTCACCGGGGCAGGGGACGGGGACACGCAGAGCCCTTGACACGGGTGGGCAGGTGGGTTTGGGTGAGGCACAGCCATGCTCCCAGCACACGCATGCAGCCAGAGATGGGTGGCAAGGAGGGGCCAGCCCGTGGGTGCCACAGGCCGCTGCCGCCCTGTCACCCAGCACCCTGAGATCATGGGCAAGGATGGGAACAGCCAGAGGAAAGGCACAAGCTCGTGCTCTTGGTGACTCCTGACTCACACACCACTGACAGCCAAGCAGGCAGATGCAATTCGTTGCATCTTCCTCCAACACCAGTGTGCCAGAGCGCACAGGCTCAGGAGGCCACCGGCAGCTGGAAAATCCTCCTGTCTGCTGGCAGGGAGACCTTGCCGTCAATGGTGGTGGGTGTCCTCCACTTTCTGGCCCCATCATGGCAGACCTCTGCAGGCTCCCATGGTTGTCAGTGCTGAGCAGGAACAAGAGCTGCACCCCAGAGGGACATCAGCACTGCCAAAAGCAGTGGCTCCAGCTACCTGTGCCCATTGGTCCCCCACCTCGGGCATGGAGTTAAGGACTGGGTGCTCACCTCCCCACTGGGGTCACCTCTGCAGCAACAGCAGCCCACCACAGACACCCCATCCCGCAGCCGTGCCAACAGCAGTACCCTCCTGCCATTTGGAAAACCTGCAACAGAGCACAAGGGTTTGTGGGCAGGGGAAGGGGAACAGAGAGGGAAAACAATCAGGAAATGTTACTGGAGTATTTTAAAACACGTTCTGTATATTAGGCTCACCCTGTTTTAAGAGCTTCCAGTACAACAACCCAATTCCTGCTTCCCAGTGGCTTTTGCCAGTAACCCTCAAGCAGTGGAATGATACAGGACAATACATTCATGGATCAGAAGAACCCACCGGCAGGCACGGGGCAGGCTGGGGGTGGTGGCAGCATCCCAGGGCAGAGCAGCGCCCACCTCGCACGCCGGAGAGTGCAGCCTTCCTCTCAGGGAGCAGGGAAAGCGGCACCGGAGCCACGTCCACACAGAGCAAAGGGCCTGTGCCTTGCTTCCTCTCACCCTCCTTTTCAAGGAAACGTCAATAGCACATTAAGGACTGTAATGGCATTAGCAACTCTCACAACACATAATGTGAGTTTCCATTAATCGGGATGGTGATATGGCTACAAAACAAACATTTTAGCAATGTTCTGCTGTGCGTGTCCTTTGATAGAGAACAGATTTTCATTCTGGAAGGGCATGTCTGCTATCAAATTTCCAGAAATAAACAGTTTAGAAGAAAGATAAAACGCTTTTGCAAATTTGTAAACCTACATGTGGTGTTCCTATCTCATAATTCTCAAATTCTTTAGATATTTAGGTACATATAGGCTTTGCTTTGTTCCTATATTATTTCATCTTTTTCCAATAAGCTCATTCAATTTCAGCCATAATAAATGAATCCAGCATATGAAAAGACACTGTCATGAGAACTCAGAAGAGCATTGATCTGACAGTTTCCTCAGCTAAGAACAGCAGTCAAAGGTATGCAGAGTAAAATGGAGTCTCTTCTGTGTTAATTATTTCCTGTTCCTGGTTTTCCTTACTTTTAGAGACAAGATGACAATAAGCACCATAATCAAAGATCCTGTTCAAACACCCCCCTCGGAATCCTCTGTATAATGGTAATTTAAAAGTCTCTTTTTCACTGAAACAAGAACTCAACAAGTCTTGGAAAAATAATACTTCTTGTGCTCCTTTGACATGTATGCCAGTTGCAGAGAGCTCTTTGGGGAGGAAGGCACTAGTAACACGTTAGGGTTTTGTCACGGAAAACCAGTAACTTGCAGCCGTGGATGTGCAGCGGGGTTTAACAAGCAAGATCCAACGAGCATAGATACTTTACTGCTTATGTTATTTTCATTCTGCTTTCTCTGCTATTGAGTACTTTCTCGGTATCAAGGACATTAAATCAAATGGCCAAAAGCCAACAATGACTTCAGTTATTTACAGGACTGGGAGCCCACAGAACAAACTCCTCAGAATAATACTAATCTAAGATGAAAGCTCTATTTGTAAGAGGGATTCAGTCGGGTATTTTCAAGCATTCATTATAACTGATCCAAAACATCTGGGAAGCTTCCTGTCAAGGCCACTAAACTCAATGCTGTAACTAAAAAAAGCTACTTTCAAATGATGAAGAGCAGGCAAATAAGTACTTCCACTAAAAAACTGTTCAGGGTGCATAAATGCCAACAAACAAGCCCCACAAGGTAAGGCCACGTTGTAACCCCTGATTCTGGAGTGGATCTCCACCTCGGGTAGCTCACGGGCAGTCTGTCTTTCAGGAATCTCCCTTCCAGGTCAGCAGGACAAATATCGCACGACAAAGTTGGCTGTCCTCAGCCAGCTTGTAAAATTAAATTTTGGGGAGGGGAAGAGTTGTCACCAGCAGCAGGAGAGACAAAGTGATCCCTGGAGGAATTAAGTTTGGGAACTGTCAGGTTGTAACTCCTCCTCGGATACAAAATCTGCCAGGCTGCCACCCAACTTGCTTCAAAAGCTTATCAACAGGGCTACATTTTTTCTGGCTGCCAAAAGGACATAAATATTTCAGAACGTTGTTGGAAAAGAGGAAGACAAATGTGCAACAACCCCAAGTCATTAATCTATAGTAATTTGATTTTTTTTTGAAGCATGTATATATAACTGCCCAAACAAAATAATTACTTTCGAGGCAGAACCTGTTCTGAAATTTGGGCTCTCAGACAGCACTAGTACACATCCCTGCAAAATCCCGAAGGAGAGCATTGCAGGGGAGCGGAGAGGGGGGGAAGAGGTTTTGTATCTGTAGAAGCCCCCTTAAAAGCCACAGCAACACCTCTGGCAACCTGGGCCTCTTACAACTGCTAGGACTGGGTCGGGAGCAGGAGCTGGGTCACTAACAACCTTTATACTAAATCAATGACTTTTATGATTTTATAATGATTTTACTGAGTGCTCCCAATCCCACTTACGGCTCAAGAACATTCACCGTGGGCTGCAATGCCAGTGATATTAAGAAATCAAGTATTTCCAGATTTTCTTCACTCCACCCTTTGATGACAACAAAGGAGGACATGAGGAAAAAAGCCTTCAGCTATGGGAATGGTTAAAAGTTTCCAAAGAGCTGTACAGGACACTGATTTTCATCTGACAAAGTGGTAGAACAAAGTGTTCTGTTAAAACACACTCTGTTTTCTTGCCACATAGAAATAATTCCAAGTAGTTTTTAAATATAAAATATTTGAAGTTTTGCAACTTAGAAAAATCCCACATACTGTATTTTCTTTTGTTAAAAAACATGTTACTGTTGATACTCAATAAGTTGATATTCAAGAAAAACTATCAGACATCAAATTTTCTTAAAAGAATCTGTGATTGAAGTAAAAACATCATTAATAGTTCCCTGAATGCCATTAATTCTCTTTTCTGTACTCAATCTTGCAGCTGCGAGTTCAGCAAACACTTTAACTTGATCAGTGTCTCTTCAACCATACTATTTACAGAAAATGGTAATTTTTTCTCCATCAATAAATGACTAACAAAACACCTTCTTTTTGTTATTTTACAATGACTCAAACAAGCAGAGAGATTTAAGCCAGAAGTATAGCGATTTGTGAGCCTGGAGAGCCACAGCCAGGTATTTTTAGGGGACAGTCAATGATCACAGCATTTACTTCCATCTTGTTGCACTGGCAGGTTTGGCAAGGCAGGAAGCTTCTGGTTGATAATACTGCAGACGTTTGTTTTCAAGTGTCTCTGCCACTAAGCCCTCCTGACATGAGGATTAGGGCATGAATAAGACAAAAAAAACTATCAATGAAAAATGTCAAATGTGGGTGTAAGTTCAGGCAGCAAACAAAACCCATCTGACTTCCAGAGTTGCTGAGCACCCTAGCACCACAGTGCCATAACATGGCAACTGCAAAGAATATTTCACATTACCATTTGACTTAAACTACATGCTGACAGGCAACTGCCTGTTCTTAAGACTCATGTAGTTTGTGAACGTGATCTAGTTTGGCTCAGGTAGAAAGGAAGCAGACGTGGGCAGGGGCAACTTGGTGTCCCAAAGTCTACTGCAAACTACAAACCCAAGGTGCTTAGCCGGCTTGCCTTTCCGTGCCACAGAACTGAAGAGTTTGGCACTCTCAGCTCCCTGCTGCCCTAGGGACAACTGCTTTGGGGTGTGATCAGAGACATCATTTCAGCTGTGGGTGGTGAGTGCCCACGCCAGTTCACCTCTTTTTAAAACACTCAGTTGATCCTCACACAGAGTTTTCAGGGCACCCTGGCTTTCCACTGCTCAGCGACCTGATGAGGATGCACATCTGCCTCCAGAGAAAAGCATCTCCTTTAAGGACTCAGAGGCCTAAACATGTAAAACTTGAGCAACTTGTATCTAAACATTGATTACTGACATAGATAATTCTAGAGATTTAATTATCCATTAGTCATATAGCATCCCAAATCAGAATCCTCCTTTCAAAACCAGACACAACGTTTGCTTCAAGCCTACTAGCATCTCCTTTGTTAGTCTTGAACCCAGAACCAACCGATGGTACATTTTAGAAATGGTAAAAGGATCCTAAACATTAAGCATATAGTGGAAACACTCCAATAAATTTCATTATTTCTCAATTTAAAATGCTGATTTGTTAGAAATTAAACACTTCTAATTCAGTCATAATCTTAGAAGTACTTCCATGTTAGAGATCTTGCCCTGTTAAACTTGGTTTTACTGTATCCAGCCTACTTGCAAATGATGCTTACTTTTGTAAATGGATTTCTGTCAATCTTTATATAAAAGCATCATGGCTAACAGCTTGTTAAACTGGATGAGATCAACAGGTTGGCTTCCAAATGTCAATGAAAAAAATAAACCAAAAGAATGAAAATGAAGCATTCCACAAGGATTTTAATGTTATTTGTGTTTATATAAAAATACTTTCTTCAAACAATTGCTAAGAGGTCAACTCATTTCAAAAGGATAGTCTAGCTATGTTGAAATGCAAACAAGAAGATAAAAGTCACTAACTTTCACAGGATTAGCCTGGGAAAAAATGATTTCTTATAAAATAAATTACCTTCTACAGATCATACCATCTAAAGGAAATGCAAGAAAGTATAAAGACCACCCAAAACATTACCAAACCTTCTAGCGCATATTTACTAGATATATCATCTGTGAAATAGTTTAATATTTAATATTCAAATTACAAGTTTCTAATAAAATAACAAACTTCGACAGGATCGCTTCCATTCTTTGCAGAGGCAAGTGCTTCTACAGTTAAACAGAAATGTAAACACTTATTGAAAACCTAAGGCTGAAACAGGCATCTGCTATGGAAGTGACAATTTCAGATTTCGTCAGGAGAATCTACTGCACATTGCAAACAAGTGTATCAACCAAACAGCTTAAAGAGGCAAAAAGGTGTTCGCAGAGCTTCATCTCGGCCCCCATTTAATGTCTTTTACACCATGAAATTGCCTTTTCAAAGCATGGTTGTCTGCCCACTCAGCATTCAGAAATGAGTCGTCATCATCCTCTTCTAGTTTCTATAAAGAGAACCAACAGGTTAAGAAGGCAGCAACGAATGTAAACTGCCCTTAAACAATAGCACAGCTCAAATACAGTAAAAAGACACTGTTACCTTAAGTTCCTCCTGCTTTCTGTAGTAATACAGCATCATCTGTTTTTGCTCTTCATGACTAATCAGAGGTTCACGCCCTGGAGCTCCCTGTCCTTTCTGAAAGGAAAATCATAAATTTTATTTATGATGGCATTTGCAATGCAAAAGAGAAGCTGCTATGCAAAGATAGCAACATCTTTCTTCAGACAATGGGATTTCTCAAATTTAGTAAGGTCCCACGGGACAGGAAAATAAATGTTGAGAAACTTCTGCTGCATTCAAGCGAGAATTATTTTTTCATCTCAGCATCTGAATCATGTTGTCAATTTTGTGGACATGAGTGGAAGCGGCAAACAGGATTGAGTCTATTTTACTTAAACTTCTACTCTAAAAGACATAATAAATCTCTCTGTTTTAAGGTCATTCTACATTTCTCAGGATGGGCTCATCCATCTTCAGCTCCCCTGCTAATACAGTCTCAAGATGGCATATGACTTAGTCAAGCAGGGAAGGCAGACAGTTACAAACCACTACAAATAAAATAAATTTGTTAGTACAAATAATTTTTTTTTTTTTTTCCAGCTGTGCTCATGGAAGAAATGATGTATGCAGCAGAAAATAGCTGATGACAGCTATTGTCAACAATAGCAAATGGAACAGTTTGAATGGATATGGTGAATCCTTTCTGGGACAAAAAAGACTCTGAGGTGGTTCAATTTAGCTCTCCAACCCAAGAATGCAGGCATCTCTTCTCAGATAGAAAACCACTGTACTACCCTGTATTCTCTGAAGAGGTCTATCAACTAAATAAACAGTAAGACAACTTTCCTAGGAGCCTACACTTCAACGGCTGTTGAGTTGTCACACAATTTTTCAGTCACCCTGAAAGATAAAGAAATTCTGGTCTTCTAAATGACAAACACACAAATCACTTATCTTTGAGGAATTCTATTACAGACACCTGGAAATAATAACATCCACCATAAATATTTATGCTTTCTGTGGCAGAGAAGCTCTCACTGACGTGGAAGTAAAACGCAGCTCCAGAATAATTCTGAGCTACAGGTAAGTACTCTTGAGACATTTGACATTCACAAAAGCACCCTCTGAATGTGATTTTATAGAGACACACATATCCACATGAACGGGGTGATTATCTTCTGACAAAGCTCAGAAAATGAACTGAAACACCAAATGTTCTTCCCTTTGGTATGGCATTCTCACCAGAGATGAACACAACTGCAGAGTTAGTACAAAATCATTTTGTCCAAAAAATAATGAACAGTCCCAGTAACTTGGTACTAATCCTCATACTGCAAGAACATGACCATTGTGTCAGACACCAGGTGGTCTGACACGCTTTTGCTGAAGCACCAGGTCTATAAACTGAGGAGCAGCAGGAGATCTTTGCCTCATCTTCATTCACTACTCCAGAGGATGACTCAGACCTGTGCTCATAATCAATGCAGAAGGCCTCATCTGTTTTATCACAACTGACAGCTGGAAAGTCTCATTTAAGAAAGTTCAGCTGAAAGCTTTAGGTGAGCTGCTGCAGACAGCACCACTGGGTGGTACAGGCCCAGTAGCTTGTTCTTCCTTCTAGCACTCAGCAAGTTCTCACTGAGCACTTTGGAAGAGCGTAAGTTCAGTCTCTGCCACCACCTGTGTCCTCGCAAAGAAGATGCATGTCCACATTTCCAAGGCAACTGAGACAGTCTGAGGACCTGCCATCAAGAAAGTCAGGATACCACAGGCAGGAAATGACTGAGTTACAGACACTGTCTTTCAGACACACAGCAGACTGAAACGGGGGTGAGAAGTATCCACACCACATATGCACAAAATGCTAAAACTGTTTTTTAAAGGCCAGAATATTGAGAGGAAAACATTCACAAGTACAATTAGAAAAACTGGGCAGAGTGAATGACTGGGTCTGTGCACTGAGATTCAGTGAAGAGTCAGCTGAGGTTTTTTTAAACTTTTCCATTTGTATTTCATCTATTTTTAAATACCTCTTTGCTGTACTTAAAAAAAAAAAGTGCTATGGAGCAAGTAAGAGCAACTACAGTATTTAACTGACAGGCAAAGGAATTACTAAAGAAAAATTTAGAATATAAGATATTAAACCCTTAAAATAGATGTATAGTTTTAAGACACTCAAGCCAGAACTAATCTAATCCATTTTATACACTCATGGACAATTCCCTTCCATGGAGAATTGGGAAGACAAAGGTGAGTAACTTGTAAAGAAATCTCCCAGCAATACTTACTTTCTGTATCTTGACAATGATGGTAGTTTTCTCATTTCTGCCTACATAGTCAGAGAGCAACTTTGTTTCTTTCAGCTCCTTTCCTGCCCACCATAACTGTGCTTCTGATTCTTCTATAACTTCAAGTCCAGCCTGTGACAAATAAACAAACAAGGTGAAGTGCTGGGAGGGGTATTGATTGTTGCTTTTTTTCAAAACCAGAAAAATCTTCTGGGAAAATCTTTCTGGAATTCCTAACAGAAAGGCCAGTGTAATTTTGTGCTACACTTCTGCTATATTGTTCTCTTCATACTAATCTACAGCATTTTCATTCATATTCCATTCAATCTTGACCTAACGAACACTTTGAGCAATACATTCTCAATACTGGTATTAGAAAGAAATTACAAGCTATTTAAAATGAGTCCCGGACTTACCTGAACTTTGTACATAACACTTGAATAAACTTCATTCATATTATCTCTAGTTAAACTATTGGTGTGCTTTCACATCAACTGACAAAAATATTAAACAAAGTTTGCCATGCAAATGAAAAGAACCTGATAAAATGGAGAACAGCATAGCACATATTTAACCCAGGCACTACATATAACCCAAATACATTACTGCATACATGAGTTCCCGACAAGTCTTCTTTATCTTCAAACTCCATCCTAACTGGATCGTGTGGAGGCAATCCCATTGGATACACAATCATCACAGCCCCTCGGAGCTGGTCCAATGCATCTTTCACCATCTCCATATTAATGCACACATTGGCCTGAACTTGTTTCTGAAATACAGGCAGGGATCACTGGTAATTTAAAAAAATATGCAGAAAGACTTTGCTTTGTAGTCAGTTCAAAGGTTCAACAGTGTGATATTTGAGCAAAGCTAACTGGCTGTGCAAAGATAATAGAAGCGCAAATTTTCTTGTTTTGTATATTGGTTTCTGAATACATCACTTTTGCCCCCTCCATTTAGCTTGCTTATGCTGGGGGAAAAATAAAAGAAATAATAATAATAAAAAAGAGAGATCTTCACTAAATTGTGCAGGAGACATTTAGTAATAAAAATCTCTGGGATACAGGCATTCCAAGAAGTATGTGTATGACCACAGAAATTGGATGGGGAGTCTTTTGTTCCAAGAAGTTGTGATTCACAAACAAGATTCAAAACAGCAGAATTCAAGCAAGGGCTAGAGAAGAGGCCTAAAACTTGAGAAAAAAATACAGAGCACATGTGAGCAGAAAAGTAAAGCTTGGCGTATTGCATGGCATATGCAGTGATCTGTAAGATCAAATACTTGAGATCATTCCAAACTCTAATGGATAGAGGAAAAACAAGATGCATGTAGAAGACAAGAAAGAAAGCTTTTGCTTACAGATTTAACAGTTCCAGTATTTTAACCGACAAGGTTTATAAAAAAAAAAAAGAGTAAGAGAATGTTGCCTCCTTGTGGACATTCTTAAACTAGTTAACTGGCAAGTACAACTGGTGTCTGAATCTCAGATGATCAACTTTTTTTTTTTTTTAAATACACAGGCATATTTCATTTTCATCATTATAAAGTGATGAATCTAACAAACCACTTCCCACACTACCCTTAACTTCGTTCACCAATGAATGGCAGTAATTTCAAGAGTAATTCAGCACACAGTGCAGCAATTTTGCAACTTCTTATTGTACATGACAGCATAATATATAGTTGGAAGTTTCACCCAGGAAGACCTGCAAAGTGGAAACTGGATCTGCAGATATTTTTGACTCAAGAAGTAAACCTACACATTATTAATTTCCTCCCTGATTATAAATAGAGCTGATGAGATACAAATCAACAGGGAAAAAAAAGTCCATCTGGAGAAAATCTTTATAGTCCAGAAGCTTTAATCTGAAACATCTCTGATTTTGCTTAGATTTTGCTATGACTCATAATGGTTTGGCTGAAATCCTGCCTCAATTCAGGAAAGGTCTGCTGCAACTCAGCACATTGGAAGCGCTGCCAGGCCACAGGGAAGCTCCTCTGTTTATTTCCATGAGGTCTTTGGAAACACTGACTTGATTACTCTAAATGACCGATATGACACTGTTATCAGCAACAAAACAGCCAAGAAAGCCAATTTAAGTGCACAGGCAACATTAACAATTCAGTAACATTATCTATTTGCATAACTGGTGTAAAGATGTTTTAAACTTTCACGCATACCAATTCCCAGAACTGTAAGGGCGGGGAGAAGAAGATTACTTGCAGATGTTTAAAACATGAAATCTGATAATAAATATTACCTAATTTGTGTTTCAAAGTCACAAAAAAGCTGAAACACAATACAGAGCATCTAGAGATTTGATAAAGTGAAGCTGAATAATTGAGACTATAGTCCCATCAGGGCATCCCCTCACGCTTTTCTTTAAACACGGAAACTCACTGAGACTGACCATGAGACCAAGTGCTTGTAAAACCAAGGCCTAATCTAAGAGAATAGAACACATTTTTCAATTAATTATACATAAAACTCAAAAGGCTAGGTTAACAAGCAAAAGGTATTTTATTCCATGAACATCACAGAATGCAGTTAATTTTTCACCAGAAAACACGACAAGCATTTGCCTGAAGAATGCACCAACAGCAAATTAAGGGCATGTGGGTAAAATTAAATGTGATTTAATCATTCAGTGTGGTTTTAGCTGCCAGCATTCACTTGGAGTTTCAATATCTGATTCCTTAAATTGTTGAACCAGCTTGCCAAAAGCCATTAAGAAAATCATTAACAGAAATGTCAGTTTTTACTACACTATTCACATCACTTCAAGATATTACTCAAAAATTGTCATCCCTTGTATTGAAAAAAGTCTATTTTTTCTTAAGCTGCCCAACTACATAGTACCTATTAAGAGAGTCCCACATATCACATGCTACTTCAGGAAACTTACCTTAGAGATTAATGCCTTGGCTTCCTCTATTGTCTTCTTTATAACTTGCTGCATTTTTTCATTTGGAGCTAAAAATAAGGGACACATATTTAACAGTCTACATTTACTTCAAAGCAAAGGACCTGTCCAGGTTATTCCCTACGGTAAGCAAATGAAACATTGTTAAATCACAAAGCAAGAGAAAGACACTACTAAGTTGCTGTCTCTTTACCAGTTTGATAGTTCATTGCCCTATTTCTTACTAACTTAAGAAACAAACCAGCATTTTTCACAGGATAGCCAAACTTACACTTTTCCAGGAAAACATTTGAGTGGTATTTGGGACAAAAGTACTGAGTAGAAAGCAACAGCCATAATCACATATTCCTACAACTGAAAGCAAGACTCCTTCCCCTGACTATCATGGCCTGTACTGGTAGATGTGCTTTAACTGGGGTCAAGACTTTGGAGTTTTCTGACTTTTTTCTAATTAAAATCTCAATCTAACATCAAATGCAGTTTTACAAATAAAATGTGCATTTCATATCATAGCTACCTATTTTAATTGTTATAACAAGCCTTTCCTCAAATACAAGAAACAAATTAAATCATATTCACAGATGAACACATAAATGCATAATTTGATCGTATTTAGTTTGGCCCACATCTACACGCTGTTCAGTATTATAACTTTGTTAATTACAAAGCTGTCCTCCCACTAACAAATAAATGCCAGGGTACAAGTAAAACTGGTACTGTCCTTACACTGAAGTTGCTTGCAAACTTCTACTGCAAGGCCCGACACTGCTAACAACCATGCCAAACAAGACAGGCTTTGTCCGCATGCCTACGCATGAGACACTCAGCTCTTTCTGAGAACACAGGAGGAAAAACATTTACCTAGAATTTAAGCTCTTTATCAAGTTCAGCAAAGGCTTAAATTTGATTAGGCAATGTGTTGTGCTAGAAGAATTATTTTCCTCAAAATGAGACACTTGGACTAAGCTGTTTGCATATGACAAGTTAAGACTAAATTATTCAAAGATTCCTCCTCAACTGAGCTGCCCTGCAAGCAACGTCGAAAGGGCTGCTGACCCGACAAGGGCTGTTGTAGTGTTGGGAGTAGAGGCACAGACAGCAAGAAGACAATCGCAGTCTCTTCTGTGCAATCAGTCCTCATGCTTTCGACTGTAAAGTGGTGCTCAATACACATACCAAGTGCTAAGGCAAAACTTCTTGCCTGGAGTTGCAGAAACAAAAAGCAACAGGACTGAGTTTAGTAACTCTGAGTCATGCTCAATGAGAAAAAAGGAGAAATATTACAAAAACAACCTGTTAATGTATCTTGGTGCCTCTGAAGGAAAACAACACTCAAGTATACATTTACAAATGGGGAGAATAAATTCAAGTGGAACAGGCAAACTTGCTTCTGATAACTGTTTACTTATCTTTGGAGTTCACTTCCAAGCACTATAGCACAGGTGTTGGAAATTACTATTTAGGCTTTTAAATCAATGTTACAGAAGACATAGGTATGTAACAGATAGTTTAACTAATCTATTGTGAAAACAGGCTCCTGAAATAGCTACTACTTAACAAATCTACGACTGCCTTTAACAGTTTATTTACAGGATGATTTTTATAATTAGCAAATAACCATGAGCTGGTTAACATGCTGGCCTGAAATCAAAAGTATACTTGGTATCTCCTAGGTTTTTTCTTCTTTCAGGACAGGGAGGCAAAAGCAAAAGGTCCAAAATTACAGGATTTGTGTTCCTCATTATACTATAGATTATCTGTGTCTGCAGGGAAAGAAACAAACATTCACATTTGATTTACCATGTCCATTTCTTCGCCCAATTTCATCCTTCTTGAAGACACTTCCACCACTTGGTACACACTTTTCCGCCCACTCATCCTTTAACTTCAGTTCTTCAATTTGCTCATCTGTCAGTCCTTGCATATTATATGGCAAGAAAACACCATGCTCTGCCAGCTCTGCCATCTCTTTAAAGCACGTAGAGAACAAGATTAAAAGTCTGCATTATTGAAAATGTATCATTTACAAAAGCCTGCCACATTATGTACATGCAGGTAAACCTTACTCCTAACCTTCAGTTTTTAAAGAGCTAAGTATATGGAATAAATAATAAGGTATATAAACACATATAAATGGATATATATGCTGTAATTATATTACAATTAATATATTTCAGATATATATGAAACAATGTAACAAATGACAGTGCAGGTATGCAAACCTAGATGATACTTGCTGGCCATAAACTTTCTGGTTTTCTTAAGTCAGCTTCAGCTGACTGCATAGTCCTTTTTCTAAATACTTTTGGGAAAGCAACTTTTTTCAAAAACATGTTATTGCTATACAGTAACATATTCCTTTTTCTAAGTACTTTTGGGAAAGTGTAATAAATGTGATGATGATTCGTGTTTATGAAATATATTGACCTTTAATACAAACGTACGTGTTGTAAATAATGTATGTATCTATGTTAAGAGAAAGGTTATTGTGGTTTTATCTTCAAATCGGTTTGAGGCTTTGTAATCTCAGACTATGTAATGGCTACCAGACAGACCCTTGTATCAGACAAACCCTTGTTTTGATGGAAAAGTACCAGAAGGACCCTCGTTTCGGCAGGAAGAGGAGAAGTGGAAGAACACCAGAGAACCCCACCTCAACACCACCAGAGAATCTCCACTACACTTGCGTGGACTAAACACACCCATCTTATGAATATGTATTAGGAAAAGACTATAAAGGGCGTGGTTTTGTTTACACAGTGTACCTTGTTGGTGGAGTGGAGACTCCCTGGCGTAGCCCACGCGGTTTTGCTTATTCTCATTTCAATAAAATTATAAAACTATATTTGGCTTTTGGCTTCTAAATTTATAACAGAAAGCAACTTTTTTCAAAAACACGTTATTGTTACACAGTAATTAATTTCTTTGCAGTTGAGAAAATATGTAACTGGACTACCTATAGCTTTGTCCATCCTACATCTGACCCAAAGAGTCAGAATCACACCCAGTATGAAACAAAAAATTAACAAAAGTCTCTATAGTAATTTATCTCTACAGTAATATGTCTAATCAAGAGTACTAGACATATAGTAATATGTCTAATCAAGAAGCAACGGTCCAGGATAATTCTAGCTGAGACAACACGAGGTGTAAATGCTGCTTACCAATGCACAGTCTCACACAGGGAGAACAGAGAGAGCACATGGATGCAGCTTCCCAACTCCGTTACCAAGCCCACAGCATCTGATCCACAGCCTGCAAGCTATACACACTACTTTCCCCTACAACAACTTACTCAGCTGCCAGTCCACTTCACAGGACCCTTTCCTTGAAGGCCCTCCAGCCTCTTTACTATCACTATGTTAATTAAAGTATATCCATCTCATAACAGACACATCACAAGTACAAAAGTCCCAAAAAACAGCAATTCTATTCCCGTGGCTGGGAATATAGGCACCCACACAAAAACATAAAGGCTAAGACTAAATTAGCAAGTACTGTGGAGCAACAGCAGCAGATCTGTAGAAAGAGTGAGTGCTGAAAATACATTAACTATGGTGTCTGGGTTTTGGAATTTTTTTCAGATTAGCCTCAGGATAGCATCGTACACGAGTGTGGGTCAGCCTCATCTGAAGGGCATCTCAGCTCCTGTGTTCCCAGGCTGATCCACAATGCACACTGAAGAGGCTCAGCAGGGACAAACAGTAAATGTTTTTCAAAAGCCACCTCCTGAATTGAACTATAGGCCTAATTTAGACACATCCAATGACTCTCCACCATACAGCAAGCGGATGCCTTGCACACCAAGCACACGCTGGGCAGCGTGAGAATGTCGTTCACGGGCAGGGTATGCCGCTGGTCAGAAGGGATGTATGCGGCCACTATGGGACGGGACAGGCTGCAGTTCAGTCACTCAACGGATGAATTTTCAGCCGTGTACAGTAGAAAACTCAGGGCCGTGGGGTCTCCAAAACAGATGGACTACTAAAATACCAGAAGGTGGGAATTTACACACGGTTTGGGGTTCCGGGTGGGTATTCGCTGTTCTCTTAAATCGAGGGGAGGATGGCTTGTGTGCTGCTAGGCTGGGCCTTGAGCGGCGCCTCTTAACTCCTGCCAGCACAGAAGCCCTGCGAGGCCGCAGCCGGGCCCCCTCCCGGCGCCGCCGCCCCGCTCC